TGTCCACTCACAGGATGAGTAGCGCTGCCCAATACTGTCACTATGGCGGTGTGTCCAGTCACAGGATGAGCAGAGCTGCCCAATACTGTCACTATGGCGGTGTGTCCACTCACAGGATGAGTGACGCTGCCCAATACTGTCACTATGGTGGTGTGTTCACTCACACGATGAGTGCCGCTGCCCAATACTGTCACTATGGCGGTGTGTCCACTCACAGGATGAGTGGCGCTGCCCAATACTGTCATTATGGCGGTGTGTCCACTCACAGGATGAGTGACGCTGCCCAATACTGTCACTATGGCGGTGTGTCCAGTCACAGGATGAGTGGCGCTGCCCAATACTGTCACTATGGCGGTGTGTCCACTCACAGGATGAGTGGCACAGCGAGTCATAGAAACGTCACATTTCAGTGATTGCTAACAGTGCTTTCACAATGAAGACTGAGCTCTTCTTTCATATCTCGGCAAGCTGTCTTTCTACACGAAATGCTAATTCAGAAAAAAGCTGCTCATTGGTTCAGTTCTCCCTTTGTGTTTTTTCTCCCTCGTGCGCTACATTCAAGCGTTTGTCGCTACATACGAGCGTCTGTCGCTACATATGAGCGTCTGTCGCTAATGCAAGAACTGAACGTAACTGTGAACTTTGTGCCATTGGCTGCCATCTTGCGGATAGAGCATATGTTCTCCCCAGCAACATTGATCTTCACTCTCTCAAGAACAGTCCGTGCAGCTTTAATTTGCACTCTGACTAATATTTTAGCTTTTCCACCTTCATGTCCTGAGATGTTCCCGGTATTCCTTCAAGATTCCGCGGGACGTTCAACTGATATCCAGCGTTTGGCGTTCTATTTTAAGTTGATATATTTAACATCTTATTGATGTTTCTTGTACACTTGTGCACTTGAGGATATTACCAAAGGGGATATTAATAGGGGTATTAAAAGTATCAACGCAAGTCAGAACACGAATGGCTATAAATGGATAGGTTTAGAGTTGGGACAGACCTGGGTAAATATTGGTTCGGTAACAGAGTTGTTGATTTCGAAGGTGGGTTGGACATTTATATGAGTGGGATTGGGTGGTTATAAATAGGAGCTGCGTCGTATGGGCCAATAGGCCTTCTGCAGTTATCTTCAGTCTTATGTCTTATTTTCTTGTACACTTCAGTGTTGTCAATCTTTACTCTTTGCCTGTCTAGAGGATGCAAATAAAGATATCTTATAATTCCACGTACTAACTGTAGTCCTCCAACACTGGCTCCCTCCACCTCCTTCTCCAACACCAACACTGGCTCCCTCCAGTTCCTCCTCCAACACCAACACTGGTGAATCCAGTTCCCCCTCCAACATTGGCTTCCTATAGCTCCTCCAACACTGGCTCCGTCCATCTCCTCCAACACTGACTCCGTCCATCTCCTCCAACACTGGCTCCGTCCATCTCCTCCAACACTGGTTCCTCCTCCCTCCCTCCCTCTCCCCCACGAACACCAACAACACACTAACTTGCGTGAAGTAGAGTGGAGTGTGTATACGCATTGTACAAGTTTAGCGTAGTTACTTACATACGTTATGGGGGGGGGGGTTGTGTCAGAAAGTTTGTCTCTCTCTCTCTCTCTCTCTCTCTCTCTCTCTCTCTCTCTCTCTCTCTCTCTCTCTCCTGTTACCAAGTTCTCTACATCTGTTCGCTCGGGAGTATTACCTGAAATACTGATTTTCAACGTTCTTTAATCGTCCTGATTCCCCTTAGAGCGACTCGGTCTATCGTGAGCAGGGGAGAGCAGTCCGTCTTGCTGCTCTGCCTGCTGCTGCTGTCTGTGCGTCTGCTGCTGCTGCTCTGCCTGCTGCTGCTGTCTGTGCGTCTGCTCCTGCTGCTGTCTGTGCGTCTGCTGCTGCTGCTCTGCCTGCTGCTGCTGTCTGTGCGTCTGCTGCTGCTGCTCTGCCTGCTGCTGCTGTCTGTGCGTCTGCTCCTGCTGCTCTGCCTGCTGCTGCTGTCTGTGCGTCTGCTGCTGCTGCTCTGCCTGCTGCTGCTGTCTGTGCGTCTGCTCCTGCTGCTCTGCCTGCTGCTGCTGTCTGTGCGTCTGCTGCTGCTGCTTTGCCTGCTGCTGCTGTCTGTGCGTCTGCTGCTGCTGCTCTGTCTGCTGCTGCTGTCTGTGCGTCTGCTTCTGCTGCTCTGCCTGCTGCTGCTGTCTGTGCGTCTGCTGCTGCTGCTCTGCCTGCTGCTGCTGCTGCTCTGCCTGCTGCTGCTGTCTGTGCGTCTGCTGCTGCTGCTCTGCCTGCTGCTGCTCTGTCTGCTGCTGCTGTCTGTGCGTCTGCTTCTGCTGCTCTGCCTGCTGCTGCTTTCTGTGCGTCTGCTGCTGCTGCTCTGCCTGCTGCTGTCTGTGCGTCTGCTGCTGCTGCTCTGCCTGCTGCTGCTGCTGTCTATGCGTCTGCTCCTGCTGCTCTGCCTGCTGCTGCTGTCCGTGGGTCTGCTGCTGCTGCTCTGCCTGCTGCTGCTGTCTGTGCGTCTGCTGCTGCTGCTCTGCCTGCTGCTGCTGCTGCTCTGCCTGCTGCTGCTGTCTGTGCGTCTGCTGCTGCTGCTCTGCCTGCTGCTGCTGTCTGTGCGTCTGCTGCTCTGCCTGCTGCTGCTGTCTGTGCGTCTGCTGCTCTGCCTGCTGCTGCTGTCTGTGCGTCTGCTGCTGCTGCTCTGCCTGCTGCTGCAGACTATGCGCCTAGCCCTGCTGCTCTGCTGCTGCTCCAGCTGTTGGTGAGACTAATACTGCGACTCCTGCGTCTGCTGTAACTCCTGCCTCTTCCCTCCCAAATTGTTTATTTTGAATGTTTGCCACATTTTGTTTGCGGGTGCTGCTGTAGAGGCATTTACCCCGTTGTTTGGTTAATATTCGCTCCCTCAGCTACGGTCAATATTGGTCGCCATGTTTGCTTTCGGTGCAAATTTTCGGTCAAACAATTGAGTGTTGGCAACTTACTGACGCTTCCTAATGTTGCCATTCCTCGAGTGCAAATTCACACTATTTATATACTTGTTTTTACTATATTTGTAACTATTAAAATAATTGTAATTTATTGTAGTCTGTAATATAATTATTTATCCTTTTTATTGATTTTTCAGAGATGTGGATGTGTACAAATCCACAAGGGCCCGTGACGAGGATTCGAACCTGCGTCCAAGAGCATCCCCAGATGCTGCCTCAATCGACTGAGCTACGACATGGTCAAAAGAGTCGAAACCGAAGTTTTACTGAACTTACTTGTGGATTTGTTCATTTGATGCATCACGTTATAGTGATTTCTGTGTGTAATTTGGATATGTATTAGGAGAATGATCTGCGTTACCCCAGTGGGGACTAACATTGTCATTCACATATGTATGTTGGTGTGGGTCTCGGATGTTAATAATGGTAGATTTCAATCCCAGTCAGAATAAATTGGGAAAGGTGAGGACTTCATGGTGGTATATACACGGACCGGAAAACTAATGGATGCAGCAGTGAGAAACATTGTAAACATCTTCTTGAGAGGTTATCTTGAGATGATTTCGGGGCTTTAGTGTCCCCGCGGCCCGGTCCTCGACCAGGCCTCCACCCCCAGGAAGCAGCCCGTGACAGCTGACTAACTCCCAGGTACCTATTTACTGCTAGGTAACAGGGGCATTCAGGGTGAAAGAAACTTTGCCCATTTGTTTCCGCCTCGTGCGGGAATCGAACCCGTGCCACAGAATTACGAGTCCTGCGCGCTATCCACCAGGCTACGAGGCCCCCCTGGGGTTTGATCAGATAGTACAAAAAAGGAAGGAATATTTGCATGTATATGTAGTTGATAGGGAGAAATCAGAGGTTGCAAAACTAGCAAGGGGAAACTCTGGGATTACGGCAAAAGGTAAACACACAACATCGTAAAATACCTGAACGATAATCTTGCCTGGAATGATGAGGAATTCATCATACTCACAGAGCCTTGTGAGTACTGAACCACACAAGGAAGGAGAAGAACATCTGAAAGCTGCCTTCCAGGTGAAAGCCAAAGGACGAGAAAGGACAGACAGCTAAAGAATTAACAAAGACATGGGGAAAATAGAGAAAGAGAGAGACAAGCAGTTTGAGAAAGTAACTCACCTAAGGCGGGAAAAATAGGGAGGATCATTTTGAGACGAAACTAGAGACTCAGAGGCAAAGCAAATCATTAAATCAATAGTGATACCGAGAGCAAGAACGCAGCAACTCTGCAAATGCACGAGGCGAGAGTTGGAGAGACAGAAATCCCTGATTATTTACCAGCTGCCAGAGCCACAGGAAGACACATGGGAGAACAGTAAGAGACTGGGAAGAGCTGACAGAAATCCACCCAAAACAAATTTGGAAGAGTGAGGCGGCCAGGGAGCTGCAGTATTACCGGTGGACCTGGAGGCTCCACGATGGACGGCATCGACCCCCGTCGATTACTGAAATAAACGGTGACAGGAAAGTTCAAAACAGGTATACAGTGCGTATACGACTTATATATACTCCCAAGACGTGAGTACAAACCAGGATAAGTCCTAATAAATAATAATAAAAGTAATAATAATAATAATATATTTGCAAGAAGGTACAATGGATTGGTGAGATTACATAAGATAGATATATATACATTCTTGCCAAGCCACTAACATACACATATATATAGCGTTTCGAACAGGTCCTTACTCTTAACATATTAGGTAAGATGAAAGGGTACATTGTAGCAAGGTTTTTATATCAACACATAACTACAATATAATTTGACAGAGGTGATTATACTGGTATAATCACTGGTAAGGATACTGGTATAATACTGGTAAGGATACTGGTATAATCACTGGTAAGGATACTGGTATAATCACTGGTAAGGATACTGGTATAATACTGGTAAGGATACTGGTATAATACTGGTAAGGATACTGGTATAATACTGGTAAGGATACTGGTATAATACTGGTAAGGATACTGGTATAATACTGGTAAGGATATATGTCTTAAAACCATAGAAACGACATTACGTTAACAAGAACTTCAGCCTCCAACTTAGGCAACGGAGTTCCCAATCAACGGAGTTCCCAAGCAACGAAGTTCCCAATCAACGCAGTTCCCAATCAACGCAATTCCCAATCAACGCAGTTCCCAAGCAACGGAGTTCCCAAGCAACGGAGTTCCCAAGCAACGGAGTTCCCAAGCAACGGAGTTCCCAAGCAACGGAGTTCCCAAGCAACGGAGTTCCCAAGCAACGGAGTTCCCAAGCAACGGAGTTCCCAAGCAACGGAGTTCCCAAGCCACGGAGTTCCCAAGCAACGGAGTTCCCAAGCAACGCAGTTCCCAAGCAACGGAGTTCCCAAGCAACGGAGTTCCCAAGCAACGGAGTTCCCAAGCAACGGAGTTCCCAAGCAACGGAGTTCCCAAGCAACGGAGTTCCCAAGCAACGGAGTTCCCAAGCAACGCAGTTCCCAATCAACGCAATTCCCAATCAACGCAGTTCCCAATCAACGCAATTCCCAAACAACGCAGTTCCCAACAACGCAGTTCCCAAGCAACGCAGTTCCCAAACAACGCAGTTCCCAAACAACGTAGTTCCCAATCAACGCAATTCCCAATCAACGCAGTTCCCAAACAACGCAGTTCCCAAACAACGGAGTTCCCAATCAACGGAGTTCCCAAGCAACGAAGTTCCCAATCAACGCAGTTCCCAATCAACGCAATTCCCAATCAACGCAGTTCCCAAACAACGCAGTTCCTTCACAACGGAGTTCCGAATTCAGCAAATTTAGGCTTTGACTAACTTGTCGACAGATCTTCTGAATGGAGCAGGAATGAGTAACCAGTTGGACTCTTGGACTTTGACCGGACTTAACTGCCACTCAGGACAAAATTAAGACATCCTACGAGAGATGAGCAGCATCAAAGTGATCTACATGATCTAAGACGCAATTAGAAATAAGGAGTGGGGGGGGGGAGTTGGTTGTTGAATAGCCATTCAACAGTGAATTAACAGTCAAGTAACCGATGAATGATTTATCTTGCTTACCTTGCGTTGATTTCGGGACTCAATGTCCCCGCGGCCCTGTCCCCGACCAGGGCCTCCCGGTTGCTGGACTGGACAGCGTGACAAATGTTGCTTTTGGCGTTGTAAACAATAGATGGGAGAGTTTGCAGCTAAATGACGGTCTGTATAAGTTGGTCTGTTTGACTTATACATTATTCTCAAGGGCTGGACGGTAGAGCGACGGTCTCGCTTCATGCAGGTCGGCGTTCAATCCCCGACCGTCCACAAGTGGTTGGGGGGCATCATTCCTTTCCCCCACGTCCCATCCCAAATCCTTATCCTGACCCCCTTCCCAGTGCTATATAGTCGTAATGGCCTGGTGCTTTTCCCTGATAATTAGCTCCCTCCTTACCTGTCTATCAGTGGGCGACTCTGACAGTCTGTTTCTCAGCTGTGACATTCAGTCTGACCTCTGTCTCTCACTTCTTTTTATCTCTGTCTCTCACTTCTTTTTATCTCTGTCTCTCACTTCTTTTTATCTCTGTCTCTCACTTCTTTTTATCTCTGTCTCTCACTTCTTTTTATCTATGTCTCTCACTTCTTTTTATCTCTGTCTCTCACTTCTTTTTATCTCTGTCTCTCACTTCTTTTTCTCTCTGTCTCTCACTTCTTTTTCTCTCTCTCTGTCTCTGGTACGTTTTCACTATCTGTCAAGCAAGAAAACATGGCACTCTGCTCTTGTCTTCTGCCTTCTCCAGACGACTCACAGAGTGAAAGATGGCACCCCAAAACTGTCATTAAATTGGCGAGTGTAAGGACAGTTGTGTGTGTGTGTGGTTGTGTGAATAGAGACCATCAGCAAGAGAGGAGGAGGAGAGAGAGAGAGAGAGAGAGAGAGAGAGAGAGAGAGAGAGAGAGAGAGAGAGAGAGAGAGAGAGAGAGAGAGAGAGAGAGAGAGAGAGAGAGAGAGAGACTTCACCAAGCCACCCACCTCACCCGACCACTACCAACAGCCACGGGTGGTGGAGGCGGCTTCATGCTAACTTTGGTTCCAAATTTATTCCCACAAACCCCCAAGACTTTATTCCCCAAGGTCAATGTATCTGGGAGTGGAGCTGCCGCAAGGAAGACCTCCCTCTTAGAGAGAGAGAGAGAGAGAGAGAGAGAGAGAGAGAGAGAGAGAGAGAGAGAGAGAGAGAGAGAGAGAGAGAGAGAGAGAGAGAGAGAGGAAATGAGAAACCAACGGGCTCTGAACCTCATTAAGGAGACAATTAAATCCGAGTTAAGGGATTCCATCTTCCTCAACGTTTAATGAGTGTTTATTTTCATACTTTGGTATATTAATAATAATAATATACTAATAATATTAATCATATTTCATAGATATTGCAAATATTAGCTTCGGTTTCCAATGCTTGGATAATAGGCGGGTTTTATTGTTTATATATAACCATTAATTCCTCGCAAGTGTTCGTCTGTTCTGTTGTGGCTGGTGAAATGTGTTGTTTAATGACCACCACCATCACTATCACCACTATCACCAGCATCACCACCACTATCCCCTCCAGCACTATCACCACCACCACCACCACCACCACCATCACCACCATCACCACCATCACCACTAACCATCACCACCACTATCCCCACCACCATCACCACCACCATCACCACCATCACCACCACCATCACCACCACTATCACCACCACCACCACCATCACCACCACCGTCCCCACCACCATCACCACCACCATCACCACCACTATCACCACCACCACCACCATCACCACCACCGTCCCCACCACCATCACCACCACCATCACCACTATCCCCACCACCATCACCACCACTATCCCCTCACCCACCATCACCACCACCATCACCACCACCATCACCACCACTATCACCACCACCACCACCATCACCACCACCGTCCCCACCACCATCACCACCACCATCACCACTATCCCCACCACCATCACCACCACTATCCCCACCATCACCACCACCATCACCACCACTATCACCACCACCACCGCTCTTAATGTCTCATAGTTTACCCTAAGCCTCCAAGAGTCTCTCTAAAGACCCGACTCCCCCAATTCAGTCCGAGATTGACTAAAAAAATTCAGTTGAAAACTTAAGGAATGCATCGTAGCAGATGACCCAGTGAGAGAGATATATAAGACACTATAAGAAACTTAAGGTATACACCATAGCAGATGGCCCAGAGAGAGAGATATAAGACACTATAAGAAACTTAAGGTATGCTCGTAGCAGATGACCCAGAGAGAGAGATATAAAACACTATAAGAAACTTAAGATATGCTCGTAGCAGATGACCCAGTGAGAGAGATATAAGACACTATAAGCCCAAGGAATAACTAGAATACACAATAACAAGGCGAAACAATCCATAACTACCCCTCACCAATTGACCCTAAGTTCACAAAACCTGAGCAACTAATTACCTGTTCCGATGAACAGGCTATCCGGCTGTACCAGGGTACTAATCACTACACTCACCTGGCGCCAGTAATTAATGCAACCTGACGTCATGGTTATCTTGAGGTTATCTTGAGATGATTTCGGGGCTTTTAGTGTCCCCGCGGCCCGGTCCTCGACCAGGTCTCCACCCCCAGGAAGCAGCCCGTGACAGCTGACTAACACCCAGGTACCTATTTTACTGCTAGGTAACAGGGGTGCTGGTGCTGAACCTGTGGCTATAATACAAACCTAACTAAAAAAAAAAAGGTATTTCTACACTCAGTTGCTATCTGATAACTGAGTTCAGGCACTTGCTGACAAAAAATCCTGGTTGGCTACGGACATGAAAAACAGAGACAGGATGTGCAAATATTTCTAGATAGCTATATTATCAAATAATTCTAGATAGGTAGATAATCAAATAATTCTAGATAGCTATATTATCAAATAATTCTAGATAGGTAGATAATCAAATAATTCTAGATAGCTATATTATCAAATAATTCTAGATAGCTATATTATCAAATAATTCTAGATAGCTATATTATCAAATAATTCTAGATAGGTAGATAATCAAATAATTCTAGATAGCTATATTATCAAATAATTCTAGATAGGTAGATAATCAAATAATCCTTATAGCTACGCTGGAGCTACCGAGTATAGCTATAGGAGCTTGGATGACCAATAAGTGGATTTCGCTGAAAGAAGAAGTACTGGAAGCCACCTCCATCCACAGCGTTAAGGCCAGAGTCGATAAAAAATGGCATATCAGGATAGTTAAATTATATCGTAACAGGTGGAACGAGGCTATTAGGTAGAGGCATAAGGCTCTAGACCTCACTGCCCCGTAGAGACTGTTTAGGTAAGTGCTATTAGGTCACCACTACCACTACTACTACCACTACCACAACCACCACTACCACCATCACCACCACCACCACTACCACCACCACTACCACCACCACCACCACTACCACCACCACCACCACCACCACTACCACCACCACCACCACCACCACCACCACTACCACCACCACCACCACCACTACCACCACTACCACCACCACTACCACCACCACCACTACCACCACTACCACCACCACCACCACTACCACCACTACCACCACCACCACCACCACCACCACCACTACCACCACCACCACTACCACCACCACCACCACTACCACCACTACCACCACCACCACCACCACCCCACCACCACCACTACCACCACCACTACCACCACCACACACCACCACCACCACCACTACCACCACCACCACCACTACCACCACCACTACCACCACCACTACCACCACCACCACCACCACCACCACTACCACCACCACCACCACTACCACCACCACCACCACCACCACCACCACTACCACCACCACCACCACCACCACCACCACCACCACCACCACTACCACCACCACCACCACCACTACCACCACCACCACCACCACCACCACCACCACCACCACCACCACCACCACCACCACCACTACCACTACCACCACCACTACCACTACCACCACTACCACCACCAGGCAGCAATGGGCCACATGAACACAGGCGGGTAATCACCAAGGTGAAACACGAGATTCACTGCAATTCAATTACGGAACGATGGGATCTGCTCCTCCCAACGTCGTTATTTAATTCAGTACCACCCCCCCCCCCCTCCCCCCCTCCCACCACCACGAGCCAGGGGCCGGATTCACGAAGCAGTTACGCAAGCACTTACGAACCTGTACATCTTTTCTCAATCCTTGGCGGCTTTGTTTACAATTATTAAACAGTTAATGAGATCCGAAGCACCAGGCGGCTGTTTATAACAATAACAACAGTTGATTGGCAAGTTTTCATGCTTGTAAACTGTTTAATAAATGTAACCAAAGATTGTGGAAAGATGTACAGGTTCGTCAATACTTGCGTAACTGCTTCGTGAATCTGGCTCCAGGACCTTCCTCCCTCCATCCATCACGAAATGAATTATCAGGGGAAAGCACCAAGCCATTACGACTATACAGCACTGGGAAGGGGTTCAGGAAAAGGATTTGGGATGGGACGAGAGGAAGGAATGGTGCCCAACCACTTGGACGATCGGGGGATTGAACTCCGACCTGCATGAAGCGAGACCGTCGGTCTACCGTCAAGCCCAAGTGGTTGGGCACCCCCCTCCATCACGAGTAACTCCTTCTCACTGTAATCCATCAGTTATGTAATATATGTTTTGTAACTAAAACGTGAGCATGTAAGAGATCCTAATCACCCTCTGTAATTAAGTG